TTTAGGAAACATGAGCAAGGAACTTCCATTATTTAAACCACCTAATTAGTGGTACTCCATTCCCAAATCCCCAGGAAACAACACCACCCGAGAGGCTGGAACAGCCTAACCCCTACTGTTCTGTCTCTCTGTCTCTCTGTCTGTCTCTCTGTCTGTCTCTCTGTCTCTCTCTCTGTCTCTGTCTCTCTCTGTCTCTGTCTCTGTCTCTCTCTCTCTTTCTCTCTCTCTCTCTGTCTCTCTCTGTCTCTCTCTCTCTGATGCCTGGAGTGTGCAAGGAAACATCAGTGGAGTCTGCTGCTCCTTTGGGGCAATGCTCCCTTCAGTAGGTGGCAGACGGTAATGATGATGGTGCACTGAGATCAGAAGGGGACTTAGGAGGTCAGAGAGCACCCATTTTTAGAGCACCCAGCTAGGTTCCTACAGCTCCCACAGAATAATAACCCCTCCAGTGAAGAAGTAAAGCCTTCGTGTGCCTAACACAGACAAGAAGGTGGTCCATCCAGTTCCATGTGCGTGAGTTTGTGTGAATTCATCTTTAACTTAGGAAATAAGGCCGGGCATGGTGGCACCGCCTTTGGGAGGCAGAGACAGGAGGATCACAAGTTCAAAGCCAGCCTGGGCAGTTTAGCAAGATCTTGTCTCCAAATAAAATAAAACAGGCCAAGGGTAGTTCAGAGCATTTACCTAGCATGTGCAAGGCCCTGAGTTCAGTCTCCATTACCAGAAGTGTGTGTGTGTGTGTGTGTGTGTGTGTGTGTGTGTGTACATGCGTGCATGCATGCGTGTGTGTGTGTGTAAAATTTAGGAAATGACAAAAAGTTTATCATGGTCATGTTCTCCTTACACATAATTAGTTCTCATCTAGAAGGTTGATTAGTTAAACACCTTAAAGCAAAGGAAATTTTGCTTCAAAATTCTAAAGAAAATCTAAAATTGTAACTTTCTGCCATCATGCAGGAAATCATTATTTCATAAACACCTGTTACTGTGACCTCAAATTCCAAGGCTAAATAATATCTAAAAACTCATTTAAGATTACTGGGACCATAATCTTAAGTGAAATAAATCAGATGCACAAGCTTAAATATCACATTGTTAACTCTTATATAGAACCCCAGAGTAAAAATAAAGATCAAAAATAAAAGTCAGATAATAGGAAGCAGGGAGCTAGATCATTTTCAAAGAGAAGGGAGATAGAGATAGAAGGAAGGGGTACAAAATGGAAAAAAGGACTTGGGATGTGTTATGTCCACGGACCAACACCACACAAGGAATGCAAACACTATGTACTGCAAACAGGTACCAAAAAACCAGGAAGGAACAAAGGAGGGGGAGGGAGAGTGAGGAAAGGGTTATGGAATGAAAAAAGGCATTTAAAATGTGTTATGTGAGCCAGGTGTGGTGGTGCACGCTTGTAATCCCAGCACTCAGGAGGCTGAGGCAGCAGGATGGTTGCAAGTTCAAAACCAACCTGGGCTACAAAGTGAGCTCAAGACCAGGCTGAATGCATAGCGAGACCCTGTATCAAAAAGACAAAAAAAAGACGTGTTATGTATATGAACCAATTTCCCACAAGGACTGGAAACATTATGCTCTACACATATGTGCTAGTAAACAACAACAACAAAAAAAGATTGCTGGGAATCTGACTGTAGAACATTCATTTCTCTAAGGCAATAGTTTTAAATAGGGGAATAACTTTGCGCGCGCCCGCCCCCCGGAGGATACCTGGTGACATCTTAAGATCTATGGCTGTCAAAACCTGCTGCAGAAATCCAGTGGGCAGAGAACAGGAACCCTGCTAATAACAACAAAACAGCATCACAGCTGAAGACTCTGCCATCCCAAGGTGCCAGTAGTGCCCAGGCTGAGGAACCCTGCTCCCAGATGTAGTAAAGCTTTCAAAACGAAAATTAAATTTTGCAAGAAGCAGAAATGCAAGGAGCAAGTGGAAATGACCTGCTGGCGTCATTCAGTGAAGTGTGGGCGATGTCCTCAGTTCCACAGAGAACTGCAGACCCAGGAGAGGAACAGGGCTGGCAACGGGGTGGACAAGAAAGGTGCTGTGCGCAGGCAGAAGTGGAAGTGGTGGGGAGAAGCTTGCCAGGCCGGCCCTTGCACCACTGGGCCACAGCACCAGTCCTGCCCAGCTGCTGCTGGGTGTGTAGTCCTGGCAGCTGCCAGGGGGTGCGGCCTCCTTATCAAACGGATTCATCAATTTGTAAAGCTCCCATTCTTCCAAAACATTTCTAAGACAATATACGAAACCCATTTTCTCCTGATTTTACTTGAAGATGAGTCACATAAGACATCAGCTATATACATGATTTCCGGCTTTTAAATAGGAAGAGCGCTATTGAGAAAAATTACAGGGTAGGAAAGGCAGACAAAAGCACTAAGACATTCTGAATCATTCTAATTTTTACAGGGAGTGGGGGAAGGCATATTCGGCTTAACAAATTTGCACAATTTTCCTTTTGAAAATAAACATATACATCATGCGGACAATTGTAGGCCATGCTTCACATGCTGGAATTAAAATTGTTTTAGAAAAAAACTTGGAAATACAGAAGGCGAAACAATAAAATGAATGGGAAAAAATAAAAAAGAAACCCATTGGTGATTGAAGTATATCTAACGCCATTCAATATAAATAACTTAATAAAGTTTTTCTCAATCTCGTAAACAATTTCCTTCTTCAATCAATTACCTCCGTGTAGAATGAGTCACAGGAAAAACTAATTTGATCTCAGAGATCTAACATGTTACAGGGTGGACATTGTTTATGGAGCACGCTGTGTGTGAACACTTTATATCCAAAGAAAACCCTGCACTTGGCCAAGGAGCTCAGATTGCTGCTGCTGAATGAAGCATCTGTGAGTTTGGGGGAAGTTTTTAAAGGGAATTTAAAAGCTGAGCATGATGCAACATGATTGTAATCCCAGCATTCACGGGGCTGAGGCAGGAGGATTGCTGCAAATTCAAGGCCAGCTTGGACTGCAGAGCAAGACCATGTCTCAAAAGCGGGTATGGGGAAGTATTTTGATCATTAAAAAACACTTTATAAATATAATCCTGAACTTTGCCTTTTACTGTATATATTCAAAGTATACAAAGTTTTAAGATTCACGAACAGTAAAAGTTACCATACTAGATATCCATTCTCTCCATTCCCCCACATGGAGAAACCTAGAGGATGGCATGCTAAGTGACATATACCAGACACAGGAAGAAAAATGTCACTTATAGGGGCCAGTCAAGTACAAAATAGTGGTTCCCAAAGGCAGAGTGTGGGAGGAGAGGAAATGGGGTGATATCAAAGGACACAACCTTGAGATCTGAAGGAGTGGTTACATTCAAAGATGGGAAATGTATTTTCTCCTTTTGAACTAGTACTGCAGGGACAAGAGAAATAGTCATAATGGGATTATACATGGAAGCTGGACAGAATTTGCTTTCAAACCTCATTAATTAGGACTTCAGTCATTTGAGTTTGAGGATCATTTAAGTAGTCCAGGCTGACATCGGCTCTGGTAATAATTTATAGACAATGTGAATTGTTAGCTGGGCACAGTAGCACATGCTTGTTTTCCCAGGACTCAGGAGGCTGAGGCAGGTGATCACCATAAGCTCAAGGCCAACCTAGGCTACATAGTGAGTTCAAGTCCAGCCTGAACTACATAACGAGACTCTATTTTAAAAAAGATGAGAATTGTTAACAGTTTAATAGTATAAGTGAGAAACACACTTCTGCCATATAGGTACATTACCCTCTTTTTCTCCACTTGTTACATAGATCTCTAAAAGACTCCTGAGCGGAAAGGTATCATTCGAGGAGGAGGGAGGAGGAGGAGGAGAGAGGATGAGTTCCAGCAGCAGTAATAGTTAATATATATTGTGATCTACCAGGCAGCATGTGAAGGACTTCATGACAATTTTTTCTGTTTAATGCTTATTATGAACAAAACTCTTATGAGACAGATGCTATTACAGGTCTAAAAAACCCTTATCTGTAGCTCCAAACCGAAGTATTTCCGTAACTCATTTGTTGACAAAGCCTGGCCTGACCTGACCCAGCCGAGCAGCAAATCCTGACCCAAAGCAACACAAAGCTACTTGAGGTTTCCACTCATCTGTCCTGTGGGTGCCCCGGGGCTTGCTGCAGCCTTGTGACCATGCCAGTGTCGGGGTACCGTCTAGATCCTTGCAGAGGACTGGATACAGTTGCTTTCTTACTGTCTTTCTGTCTTTCTGCCTTTCTGTCTTTCTTTTAAAAAGCCTGAAAAATTCTGCATTCTTAAGTGTTTCTAACAGGAGCTGTGCATCTTGTGCCAGCCCCTAACGAGATGAGGAAACAAAGCCTCAGAAGCCTGGCTCTGGCCGTCAGCAAGTGAGCCGTGGAGATGGGACTGGACATGGGCTGCTGTGGCTGGGGAGTGCAGCAGAGCCAGAGGCTGTTTGAATGAGGCTCAGGCCTTCCTCAGGACTACATGCAGTGGAAGTGATACCACTCAGGCTGCCGTGGAGATGGGGCTTTATGACACCCTTCTCTCCTCCGCCTAGGTGAATGGACAGATTTGCAAGGTCCTTGTGCTGTGTGCATACCTACCAGCCCCTCCTCCCAGCCTCCATAAACAGAAGGAACACACAGGTGCTGCCTCACATGGGGTCCAGCAGAGGTGAGGGAGCCTGGCACTCTCCATTATCTCCTTGTGTTCCCACTGCACATGAGAGGTTGCTGATTTCAGGCAGTTGAGGCCCTTCATGTCCTCAGAGGCAGCTTCGCTGAAAGCCTTTTTGCTTTTCACCAAAATAAATGGCCTCCTTTGGTTTGGTCAGCAGCAAATAGATGGACCTAAGTATATGGACCTGAGTTGCCAGTAACACAACTACATTTAAATTACACTTCTAACTAATTTGGATAAATTACTTGTTGACCTAAGCTAAATGAATGTGTCCACTATTCTGAGAAAACTTGTAAGCAGCCATCACCTACTCACCCTTTTCCTGCTCTCTTCCTGACTGCCCATTTCTCGAATCTTCTCCAAAATGGCGTCTTCTGTGGGCCCAGTCGTGCCCAGCCTGCCTCTCAGGAGGGCTGCGATTTTCTCTCTAAATGAGGAGCTCTGGCTTTGTGAGGCCACAACTGTATCTCGACTGGCTTTCAAAGTCTTCTCCAACTCTTCAGAGCTTTTCTTCAAGAGGCTCAGCTCCTGCTTTGAGGCATCCCATGCCCGCTGGCCAGCAAGCAACCTTTCTTGGAAGATCTTAACTTCTCTTTCAAGAGCTTCTTTTGCCTCTACAGCACTGAGAAAATCCTGTAATAATCCACAGAGTGTGGATATTGTAACAATAGCCACCAACCAAGTCTACACAACTGCACAGACTATAGCAAGTAATTACCTGGCTTACTAATGACTTCAAGGGATTAGGGGTAGATACTCAACCAAGTCTTAATGCTGTTTCCTATACTTGTGAAATTGCTAAGATTAGTAATTAAAAATTATGTGAATAAAGATGCCTTTTTAATCCCAGTTTAAAGAGATAAGCTTTCTCATAAAAATATCATTCCATAAAAGAGAGCTAGATCTCTCATTGTTAACTGGTTATTATCCTCTTGTCTCAAAAAGACAAAACTACAATGGATAGAACCAGAAGAAAAAAACAGAAATAACTAGCCATTTGGTGGTAGAGAATTAAAGGCAGAAGTGAAAGTACTATACTGAAAAACAATAAATAATCTCAAAGAATATGATACAGGATAATACATATGATTAGATTCAGAAAAATGTAGAGCACAGAGAAAGGTACCTATTTCTGTTAACCACAATCTAGAATCAGTACCATAATCTAGTGTCCACACTAGCACTAACAGGTTAATCACTTGTTAACATCAACTTCCAAAATACATAGATTTAGCTGGCTTTATTCTGACTTGTTCTGTTGCATACTTTCAAAATAAAATTTAAAAAAAACAAAATACATAGATTTACATCAAATAAGATTAAGCAGTTAATCAGCCTTGCCATAGGATTGCTAGCTCGTTCATTGGCAAACTTTTTAAAATTAAAAATAGTGCATTAGGAGTAAAAAGTACAAAAGGGAAACTATTTTTGAACCACAATTCTACAAGTAGTGGACTGGTCACATTTCAGGCATGACTCTGCCATTATTCAGGCATTAACTAACACTGCTAGTTAAAATGCAATCATCTCTTTTGCTTCTGAACTAGACTTTAAAAGGAATTTATCTCCACCGACAGCTTGGAGACAAGGAAAAAGGTTAGCTGAAATGCTAGTTCTTACTCTTTAGGGAAAACATAACATTTTACTCTTTTTCTTATGGTGATTTTTTTTAAAAGGAAATCTCAAGTACCAATTTGAAAGAAAAGTCACAAGAGTAGAGGTAGTTAGAAAGACATGCTCTTTTCAGACATGTAATAACCAACCGTGGAGCTGATTTTATAGAATTCCTTGCTTTTCAAGATCTTGATTTCCCATTTCCTCTTTCCAAGTTAGGGTCTGTGTAGAAAAACCTCACTGCTAGTGCTAATTAGATTATGGCCCATAAAGTAGAATCAAGGACATTTTATTAAAAATACAATGCTTTTACAGTTTGCAGATTTCTCTTCAGGTAACATAAGAGCTATTTACTTGCCCAATCAGATTACTCCTTACAGTGGGGCCACCATTATATTTAGCAACTACAATCTCATGTGTAAACTCCTAATTCAATGATGCACAGATGACAATTAATCCTAATCTGCTTTCATTGATATCTTAATGTACTTTGACAGAAGAAAGGAATTTCCCATCTATTTCCCTTCTTTACTTTTTGGATAAGATTAATGTTTCAGGGTCAGGTGGGGTGATGCTCGCCTGTAATCTCAGCACTCAGGAGGCCAAGGCAGAAAGGTCACTGTGAATTTGAGGCCAGCCTGGGATACACAGTGAGTTGAGGGCCAATCTGAACTACATAACAAGACCCTATCTCAAAATATCGAAAAAGAAAATTAATCAACCACTTCAGAGATCTAAACCCATGTAGAATATTACATATTAACTTTTTATTGAGAAAAAATCCCAAATGCAAATAGAGGAAGTTTGTGCAGTCAATAGAATAATATTTGTAACCAATTACTTATTTTTTAAAAGCCCTCAAAAGACACAATAAAATATATCAGATGTTTGAATACAGTGAATTTACTGTCAATTTGAAGAGTAACCACATGGCAACTAACATCAGAACACCAATAAACAAAATTAAAATGTTTCAACTCTGAGGAACTTTTCTTTTTCTTTCTTTCTTTTTTTTTTTTTTTTTTTTTTTTTTTGTAACAAGGATTGCTCTCATGATCACAACAATCCTCCAAGGCACGTCTTTTAAACCCGAGCACCAATACTTATGTCTAATAAAAATCACAAAGGTAGTCTGTGAGCTTGAAACACGAAGGAGCAGTTAGCAGTTTGGATTTCTTCTTTCTGGGCACTTTCAGCCCCAGAACTCAAAGCTGTTTCTCTGTGAAATGCGGGACCAGGAGCCAGTGACAGACCTTGGGAACAGCCACTTCTTGGAAGCTCTGATTAATCACTTTGAGATTCAGCGGGGGCTCAGGGCTGATCCACTGGAAATAGATGTCCTCAGACTGCAAATGCAATTACCTGCATCGCTCTCGGGAGAAAGCCACCAGACTGGAGTCTGGTTGCGTGGCTACCTCAAGGGTAAGCTGAAGCACGAGGCATAAAGTAATGTGACATGGGCACCATCGGCCGGGACCTGGGACTGCTGTCAGACCACACTGACACAGAACAAGACACAAGGAGCTCCCTCCGAGAAAACTCAGGGCGACCTCCAACGAGGAAATCGCTTCTGAGACTGAGGGCAGGTCCTAGATACACATGCTGATGCTGATCACTTCAAAAATTCTTTCTATATTGAACAATCTTGAGATTCATTACGACTAATTCAGCAAGTGAATAATGACTCCCTTACCCACTACTTTAACAAAAATATTTATAAATCATGTGACCAAGACATTCAGTCTAGCTTCCCAATTACATGTATGAGTCTGAATTGAATGAAAATGTTCAGTGTTGTGTGTTTCTAAAACATCATCTGTTTTCCTGTTGTGATGTGGTTACTACCGTACGGGTCTAGATGTGCCTGACATCAAATTGCCTCCAGAAATACAATAACTAATTATCATCAGAGTGGGAACCTCTAGCTAGATCTTCATTCCTCCGACCCTAAACCAATTTTATAAAATAAAAAATCAGTTGCTTAATTCTACGTAGAGCAGTTACAATGAAAAAATAAACCTAAAAAAACCCCTCCGAGCAGACACTCCCACATATTGCTGGAGTAAGTATGAATAGGTATACTTTTGGTATAAGTTATAGAAAAAAATGCCAAAAAAATTTAATGTTCCTCACAACGTTTAATTACATTTAACACTGAAATTCAAGTCCCAAGAATGTGTCTCTAAGACCTGGGCATGATGGCGCACACCTGTAATCCCAGCACTTGGGAGGCTGAGGCAGGAGGATCATCTCAAATTCAAGGCTAGCCTGAACTACAGTGAGACCTTGCCTCAAAAACAAACAAACAAACAACAACAACCAAGAAAATGAATGTATCTGTAAGGTGCATTATTTAATATGGAAAAAGATACATATGCAAAATTACTCAATTATAACACAATTAGGTTCCCCTGAGCAATGGGGTTGTCTTCTGGGAAATACATCATTAGGCAGCATTGTTCCTGTGTGCATATCTGTGTGCTTGTACGAAGTGGCTGTGATGTTCTTAGGCAATATAATCTCATTGGACCACAATAATGTATACCGCCATCCATCACTGAGTACCTAGTATGGCACCATTTCCACCTAAATGAGGAAATTATATGCAGAAGCAACTTCAGTTCTGGTCACTTGTAGAAACACAGTAACCATGAGGGGCAGGGGAGAAGAAGGATGTGACAGAACAAAAGCCACTATAAAATACTGGGGCCCATCAAAAGTGCCCATTGTAACAGGAAGGCAGTTGCACACACTGGGCGCACGTTCACACGCACACTAAACTTGGGCTGCATTACTAGAAGTCATGTAGCTAGAACAAGGGAGGTGGTGTCCTGCCCTATCTCCCTTGAACTAGACAAGACCTTGAGTCTGACATTGAGCTCGGGGAATCACATTTTAACCTAGATAAAAGTCCTACAACTGTGCTTTTCAAAATGTGTTCTGCGCGCCAGTGCCATGCATGCTTCCGTTGGTTCCCAGTCTCAACAAGAAAATTTCAGAGACTGAGAGTTTGAGTTTAGTCATTTCTGTAATGACTCAAAACTGAGGCAGCATCAAAGCTGTCACCATGGCCTTGAGTTTTGAACAAGGCAGAACCCTGTCCAAGCTTGGTCAGACTCATATGGTCGGGAGCAGGTGGTACGAGTTGTGTCTCAGTCGTGTGGAACGGAACAGAAAAAGCATATGTGCTATGTGTTATCCTAAGGTAAGTTTGCCAACAATAGTCTAAAACTAGAAAGTATACAAAATCCAAAACACATTTCTCTCATTAAAAGGCAATTTAAATTTAGCCATACCTATATGAGATAAATCAGCAGAACTGTCTCCAGATGGAGGACTGAAGACAGATTTTTTTCAAGACACATTTGTTTAATTTTTGGGAACAAGTTACAAATAAATACCTTAAATTGGTTTAAAATCTTTTCTGCCTGGCATGGTGGCACATACCTGTGAGCCCAGGACTCAGGAGGCTGAGAGAAGATCACTGGGGTGAGTTCGAGTCCAGCCTGAACTACACAGTGAGATCCTGTCTTGATAGATAGATAGACAGATAGATAGATAGATAGATAGATAGATAGATAGATAGATAGATAGATAGACAGACAGATAATAGATAAAATATTTGATAGTCTCCACAAACCTCTGTGACATTGATTTCCTATTGTGTGTCTTAAAATAAAACATATCTTATAAATACTGTAGTCATTAATCCAATAAAGACAACCTAAATTAGCAAACCAAAAGTGAGTTCATTGTCACAATAAAACTTTAAATGCTTACATAAGTGCAGTTCATTCTAAATGTGTATGTGGAACTTTAACACAGAGAGCTGTCCAGGGAGTGCAGCTCCCTGTATAGCTCCCTGTACTCCCTGTACTGAAGCTCACAGTCAGATGTGACTGCAAAACTTTTAGAATCGCAATAGTGATTCTCTAATCTCCTCCATATATACTTTCAAAGGATGGGTACAGTTTATGTAATTCTATTCTTTTTCCTATGTCTATTCTCATTATATTTAT